GTGGGAGGTGAGGGGGCCGGGATGTGGGGGGCGTGCAGAGCCGGGTGGGGATGGAGCCTCGGGGCTGGGGGTTCATCCCCGCAGCAGGTGAACTGCCAGGGCCGGACCGGTGTCCCACCACGAGGGTGGAAATGGGGGGGTGTCTCATCCTGGGTGGGGAACGGGGAGCTCTGCCCCCCCCCCGAGCCTTCTGCAGGTCTGCCGAAAGCGCTGGGTGCGAGTACCGCTGCAGCCTGTGCTGGAGGGACGCACTAGACCCAGCCGTCCCGCCCAAAGCCTCCCTGCCCTTTCCCTTGCAGCCCTTTCCCCAGCCCACCCCAGCTTTTCTGACAGAGGGGATTCCCTCCCTGCCAACGAGGCCCCGGGCTCGGGGAGGAGGGTGGCCGAGCGTCCCTGCCCAGCGAGGGCAGCGCGCAGCAGGCCCACCCTGAACGGACTTCAGCAGCTTGGCACAAGCAAGCTAAGTGCGATTGCTTAATAACCTGCTCACGGCCCTTCGCTGGCCTTGCAGGGTTAATGGGTAAAAAGATGCATTGTTTTCAGCCAAGGCAGAAGCCGGGCTGTCACGCCTGCCCGGGAGCTCCTGCTGTGCATTATAATGCTAGCAGCGGTCGCACCGACAGGGCCGGACAGCTGCTGCCAGGCCTGGGCATCACGCGTGCCGTGGAGTCAAGCCGAGGCAGAGCTGCTGCCTCTCGGGGCCCAGCTCCACAAGCCGTGCTTGCTTCGGTTAGGGTTTGGGGCAGGACTCCGACCTGCTGGGGGTTTGCCCTCATGGCTATGCACAAGGGAAAGCAGCCGAGAGGTTCAAGCGTGCCGGGGAATGCAACACGCATTAAAATTGAGGTCTGTGGGTATGAGCACTTCACTGCCCTTGAAATTAAGCAGCAGTTTTAATAAGATACCCTTGTGTCCGTGAGGGCATTTGCTAGCATCTCCTAGAAGCCCTAAGACTCGCGGATATACAGGAGCGAGAAGGAAAGGCATTGCTCGTGTTGCTGATCCGGTTTGGTCCGTGCGTGGGTTCACCGTGTCCCCAAGTGTCTGGCCAGGCGCTGCAGAGCTGGGTGGGGGGCCCCAGGCGGGGCGGTGATGGGAGAGTATCAGAAATGATCAAAGCACTATAACTAATGAACTGGTCTTAAATCAGTGGGGGGACCTTGACAGTTGTCGGTGTTTTCCTCACCCAGTGGGCCCCAGCCCGTGGCTGGTCCCTCTGTGTTTCTGGGGAAGATGTAGGATAGGAGCAGGCAGGGCGCAGGGACGCAGCGTGGAGGCACCCAGCCCCGCTGCCATCCCAGCCCATCCCACAAACTCCCCTCTCCACTGGCAGGTGACCTCGGACCCAGCAGGAGGATGGCAAACTCAACACAGGGCAACGGGGGCCTCCCCAGCGCGGAGCTCTGGGCCTCCCATAACAGGATGGTAGTGGAACCGCTCGACAGCAACGACCCGGAGGTGAGAGCCCCTTCCTGGCCCTTGCCCAGCAGCCGCTCCATTCATCCCCCAGACAGCCGTGGGGCTGCTGATCTCCTCGAGCCAGGGATGTGGCAGGGAAACGGTCCAAGGCTGAGCTGGTGGGACCCATCCAGCCTCCGTGCCTGCTCTGCCTGCAGGGAGAGGGGGAGAGGGAGGGCGTCCTCCAACCATCTGCAGATAGCATGGTCGTAACTTCGCATCTATTGCTTATACCCCTCTGTTTGAAGCTCTAATGTCCACACCAGAGCAGCAAGCCCACCAGGCCATGTGGCAGTTGCCCTTGACTCTCAAGCCCAAATGACAGTTGAATTATCTGGCAGCCTCCTGGCAGGTAGAAACCCAAAACATGGGCTGTGACCGGACATATGAACTGTTTGGGAGCAGCTGTACCAAGAAGGGATCTTGTCTCCCTTCTCCAGCACCTTCCCAGGCCCCTCTCCATGCCCTGTCCCCTCCGAGGGTGCATCCCCTGTGGTGGAGCATCCACGTCTCCATGCAGAGCCGGCACGGGTGAAGCTGTTTCTCTCCCCTCCAAAAGGTGCACAGCATCATCAAGAAGGAGAAGCAGCGGCAGAGGCTGGGGCTGGAGTTAATCGCGTCGGAGAACTTTGCGAGCCGAGCAGTCCTGGAGGCCCTGGGATCCTGCATGAACAACAAATACTCTGAGGGCTACCCAGGACAGAGGTACGGGGCTGGGGCTGAGTCCCACCCAACCCAAACCCTCGCAGGGAGGGAGAGAAACCACCCACGCTGCCAGACCTCACCTCTGGGAAGGAGGCGATGTCCTTGCGCTGGCAGTCACGCTCCTCCAGGGCAGGATCCGACCCTCTTGGCTTCTGTCCTTGGCCACGCATGGGACAATCTCAGCAGGGTCACGTCTGCTGCAGCTGCTCTCCCGGTGGCTGCCACAAACACGGCATCACCCCGTTTTCTCCCCAGCTTGGTCACAGGGACCGTTCTGAGCAATGAGTTTGGTTTTAACCCCTGTCCCGTCCTTTACCGGCAGGTACTACGGCGGGACGGAGTTCGTAGACGAGCTGGAAAGGCTGTGCCAGAAGCGAGCCCTGCAGGCGTACCGGCTCGACCCCCAGAAGTGGGGCGTCAACGTCCAGCCCTACTCAGGTAATGGGGTGCTCAGGAGAGCCAGGCCAGTTGCGCTGGCCTCTGCGCGCCCCAGCACTCATAACCGGCCCGGTGTGCTCTCGCTGCAGGGTCACCCGCAAACTTTGCGGTGTACACGGCCCTGGTGGAGCCCCACGGCAGGATCATGGGGCTGGACCTGCCCGATGGGGGCCACCTCACCCACGGGTTCATGACGGACAAGAAGAAGATCTCTGCCACCTCTGTCTTCTTCGAGTCCATGCCCTACAAGGTACAGAGAGCTGCTCCAGCCGTCATAAGTGTTGGTGCCTCTTAGAGTTAAAAGTACTGGCGTCAGGCTCCCGGCACCCCCTCCTGCAGGACGGTGCTGCAGCTGATCTTCACCCATACCAAGGTGGCTGAACCCTCCGCTTCCTCTCCCAGGTCAACCCCAAGACCGGTTACATCGACTACGACCGGCTGGAGGAGAATGCCCGCCTCTTCCACCCCAAGCTGATCATAGCAGGTAAGGATCAAACCCTTACCGACCTCCGTGGTGACACACCCTGGGTGGGGGTGGCTCCCTGAAGCCAGTAGCGCCCTGGTAAGCCCACGGGTGCTGCAGTGCCAGGAGGAGACCTCTACCACATCCACGCTGGCAGGAGCTTGTGTGCTGTCCCCAGCTGGGCTGTCCCCATCACAGGGCTGGAAGCAGGGCTGTCCCAGGGTCCTCGAGCATCTGCTCCTGTCCCCTCCACGTCCCATCTCCCTGCAGGTGTCAGCTGCTACTCGCGCAACCTGGACTATGCCCGCATGCGGAAGATCGCCGACGCCAACGGTGCCTATCTCATGGCTGACATGGCCCACATCAGCGGGCTGGTGGCCGCTGGCGTGGTGCCCTCCCCCTTCGACCACTGCGACGTCGTCTCCACCACCACCCACAAGACCTTGCGGGGCTGCAGGGCCGGCATGATCTTCTACCGCAAAGGTGCCTGACTTGGCCAGGGAGCCGGGAGAAACGCTCCCCCCAGGCCGGGGGCGCTGCAAGTTAAAGCTCCTTCCTGCTCTAGCTGGGAAGGAGAGAGGGCAGGAAGGTCCGGGGCCTCCTGGGAGCACCTGGGGAGCTTACCAGGGCCAACCATGGCCCAAATTTGAAGAGGAACGACCACCATCCCTGCTCCGAGTGGCCAGGGGGTGAAAACAGCTCGTGGGAGAAGGGTGGCCGTGCTGCCTCATGAGCGACCCTGCCCTCCCCTCCTGCAGGCACCCGCAGTGTGGACCCCAAGACGGGCAAGGAAACACTCTACAACCTGGAGAGCCTCATCAACCAGGCGGTCTTCCCCGGGCTGCAGGGAGGCCCGCACAACCACGCCATTGCAGGTACGCATCCAGGCTGGCCGCCAGCTCCGGGATGGCAAAGGGAGCCGGCAAAGATGTCCTGGCTGGGCTCTGACCCCCAGCAGCGGTGCAGGGGGCTCCAGCTGCCCCGAGGGGCTCGCAGCCTGGAGAGAACGCGGCAAGGAGCAGCCAGCTTGATCCAGCATTGCCCGAGGGGCAGCCAGGCTTGTCCCATCCTGCCTTTTGGCTCACAGCAATGTTGCCAGCCTGGTTAGGGGAGAGGACTGTCCATCAGTTTGCTCAGCTTCCAGGATGACTTCTGCTGGTGGTGCCACACGTCCCCACCGGCTCTCCCAGTGGGAGCCCCCAAAAACTCACCCCGCTCTGCCTTCCTCCCCAGGGATCGCCGTGGCCCTGCGGCAGGCCATGACGCCCGAGTTCAAGGCCTACCAGCAGCAGGTGGTCGCGAACTGCAAGGCACTCTCGACGGCGCTGATGGAGCTGGGCTACGACATCATCACGGGTGAGGACAGGTTTCAGCGGTGGGATGGGGCTGACCCCTGCACGTGGCCCAGGTCCGAGCCAGGCCACGAGGGCGGCACGTGCACGGATGCGACAGGCAGGGCTCTGCCGTCGCAATTCCTCAGGACATCCGCAAAACTGTTTTGAAGCAGCCCCCCTTCCCAAGGGCAGGCATGCTTCTGCCCCTGGTGCAATCCCAAGCCTTTTTCGCTGAAGTCTCGTGCGGGAGCAGCGTTTACCCCCATCCCACGTCCCCCACCAAACCCTTCTCTTTGCAGGGGGCTCCGACAACCACCTGATTCTGGTGGACCTGCGCAGCAGAGGCACGGACGGCGGCCGGGCCGAGCGGGTCCTGGAGGTCTGCTCCATCGCCTGCAACAAGAACACGTGCCCTGGTGAGGGATCCCACGAGCTCTGCCGCGTCCTGCCCCGCATGCTGGGGATCTCCCGTGGCCTGTGCAGAGCTTCCTGCAGGGCTCCAAGCTCCTGGTCCACCCCAGGCACTTGGGAACCACGTCGAGCTGCCACACGCGGCAGTTTCAGTACCTGGTTTGGTCACGCGTGACTTGTTCTGGCGCAGGCGACGTCAGCGCCCTGCGCCCCAGCGGCCTGCGGTTCGGGACGCCAGCTCTCACCTCCCGCGGCTTCCAGCAGGACGACTTCCGCATGGTGGCTCAGTACATCCACAGAGGTGAGGCTGGCGGGGTGTGTGCGGGGGCGAGTCTCGGCTCCAGCGGCAGCCCGGGGCCGCTCCTCCGGGCAAGGAGGCACAAGCTGGGTGGCTTCCCCAGCAGCTGGCGAGGGAGCGCACGCACGAGTGAGGAGTAACTGTCCCACCTGCACATCTGGATGTGGGAGAGGACATCTGGCCACAGCTGGCACCGGCCAAACCCTCCCCACAGCACAGGCAGCAGGCTGAAAGCCTGGATTAAAACTACCTTTCGCAGTCTTGTTCCACTTGTCCTCAGGGGTCCCACGCCGGTTTCCCGGCGCAGCGAGTCCCTCGCAGCCTTGCTCCTACCCTCCCACCTGTCTCGGGGAGCAGCCCCCGTGCTGCTGCGGGGTGTGCAGGGCTAAGCCCACAGCCCAGCCTCGCAGGCTGCCTGCGGCAGGGCTGGGAGAGCCGTGGGATGCGGCAGCTGCCCGCTGCGGGGGCAGGCAGAGGTGTTGCAGCCACGAGGGCTGACCGACGCGTCTCCCATCCTGGCAGGGATCGAGCTGACGCTGCGCGTGCAGAAGGACATGAGCCCTAAGGCCACGCTGAAGGAATTCAAGGAGAAACTGGAGGAGGAGAAATACCGGGGGGAGCTGAAGGCACTGAAGGAAGAGGTGGAGGCCTTTGCAGCGACCTTCCCGCTCCCGGGGCTGCCCGTCCTGTAAGGGGAGGCACCCGTGCCCGCTCCCGGAGCCATGGAAGTACCCGGGACCACGGCACACTCGCACCCCCAGCCCGAGACCAACACCCCAGTGCCTTCTCCCAGCAACTTCCCTGCTGGCACTGGCTGCGGTGCAGCAGCGGCTCCTTGTTTGGCTCTTACTCACCTCTCCCCTCCCGTTTGGGGCACAAGACCCCCCTGAGCATGTCGTCCCCCCCCCCGCCAGGAAACCAGCCCTTTCACCACTCAGTGTTACGACTGGGACCCAGCACCAGGTAACCCTCAGCCTCGCAGCCAGGCCTGGGTTTGATCCGGTTCTCGCTGGCTGTGGGAGCGGCAGACGAGGTTTAGGCAGGCCTGCCCACGGTCACCCAGACACCCCTGCCCACGGGGGGAGGGGTGCGCCCCTGCAGGAGCCACCCGCCTGCAGCCAGGCGCTGTGCCCAGCGGCACAAGAGACTTCACAGCCGCTAAGACCCTCCCTGGTTTCTGCCTCGAGGATTCCCCTTTGTGCACGCAAGCCCGCTCTCCTCTCGTGCCTTCCAGCCTCCGCAGGCTTTGACAAGGCCACGCCTTGTCCCAAACCCACCGAGAACGGCCCTCCCGGGATCACCACCCCGTCCTAGCCCGCGTCTCCGGTATTTTCTCAGACCTCCGAGCGCAAAGCTTAGGTAGAACCATTTTTTAATAAGCACGGTAAAATTAAGAATTTAACCACAATGTATGACAAGAATTATAAGCTTTAAAAAATACAACCAATTTTTTTTTTTTTTTGTATTTCAAAAATATCTGAACCCAAATAAATAATTTTTTTTTTTTTAAAAGTACATTTCTCAGACTAGTCATTTGGTGTTAACATCTGTTAAACTCTTGTGCAGTAACACTTACAGCACGACACTAAGACATGCTTCTTGGATTTCTCCCGGTCACACTCGCTCTAACTACTGACGCAAGCATTCGGCACGCACAGGCACACACGTGTAACTCAACATGCAGTAATAGGATACAGTGCTTTAAAATAAGATGAGAATTCATCACAGCCTCCTCGCAGCCCTCAGAGGCAGCTCTTAGCCCAGCCCCATCCCCGTGCCGGCAGCGAGGCAGCCGGCGGGACCGGGTACCCTGTGTTTCTGCCTTCCAGTTAAAGCGCGTCTCGGGGACCAGGGCGCAGTGGGTTTGGGACCCCGGCAATATCGGGGGTACAGTCTGTTGCTCTGACGTTGTGCTACTGGGGCACCGCGCGGAGCAGGCGCTCTCCTTCGGCCTGGGCAGCTCGCCGAATTTCCCGTCGCACCTTATTACAGGAGCCTTTTCAAAGCGCTGCTACAAGCCCTGGGTCCTGCCCAGCTCTCCGAGACGCTGAATCCGCAGCGTGGGCTGTCACCCACCACCAGACCGGGGGCTCGGGGCCCCCCACGCACAAGGAAAACCAAAGAACTGGCCTGGGGGCGTGGAGCCGTCAGCTCTCACCCCTCAGGCGCCTCTCCCACCCCTTACAAAATGGTGAATATTGCTAGAGTATAGGCAGTACTTCCCTAGTCAAGGCAAGACAGCTTGGGAGCTGCTTAGTAGTGATTGCTACTGGATGAAAGTAAATCCGAGCACTATCCTCTGAGAAATGAAACCTGTGTAGGGTTAATATCGCCTACTCCTATGGCTGACCTTCCTCGGGGTGGGATCTGAAAGCGGCGGGCTAGTGTGGCGTAGAGCAGGAGCTGGCAGTCCGTCTCCCAAGGAAGGAGAGCGGAGGAGTGAGAAAAGGGAGCCCTGCCCGCCCAGCCAGGCAGCAGACGGCCAGGGGAGACCTTTGCTCCGATGAATTCTCGGTCAGGCTTAAAGCCTCCTCTCCCCGACAGCCAGCAGAGCGAGAGGAGGGAGCCGGAGCCGGCCGTGCGGGAGGCGGGGGCATGCTGGCAGCGCTCACGGAAGCAGGTGACGGCCGTGCACAGCACCGCTGGCTCTGGCGGCTGGAGGGTTGGCGCGGGAGGGCTGGTGGGTATTGCACTGCGGCTGCGAGGAACCTGCCCTGCTCGCGGTGGACGGACAGCTGGACGGCAGCGCGCGGCGCTCAGGCGGTGCGGTGCAAGCCGACGAACACGCATGCCAAGATTCATTGCGGGAGCTGTTAGTGCGAAGATCGTAACTTGCTATAAGTCTGCTAATATCGGAAACCAGTGAGGTAACACAGTGAGGATGAGGAAAAAGTCTTAAAGTGCCAATATAGGGATCTTTACTGTACAGGGGCAGAAGGTCAGAGAGAGAAATTACCGAGCAAAGAGGAATTCAGCTCCCGAACCACCAGCTGCACTCGGACTCCCCCCCGATTTCTGCCGCTGTTACGGGCGCCACAAGCAGCGAGGGCGGGCTGGGCCCCGGCTGCAGCGAGGTGCCACAGCCCGAGGTAACTCCCCCTTTCCTGGAGTCCGAGCTCAGAGGTTACCCTGCCGTGAGCCAGCTTGAGGAGGACAAGCACTCCAAGGTGCGTTTCCCCACAGCTCCTGCTTAATAGCCGAGTCGCAGATAGCGCAGAGCTCCGGTTTCCAAACAGCGACGAAGGTCCCAGCAAAGCCCCCAGGGCACCCTCCCAAATCAGAGCTGTTTTGTGGGGGAGAGACGAAGCAGGTCAGACGGGTGGTAGTGCAAGTATTGCTCAACACAGTCTCAAACATCAGATGCTACAGGTTTGACAGAGGGAGCAAGGAGAAGCGAGTTATTTATCAATTTATGGGTGCAGCTGAACACCACAGGTAGAGACCACTGTGACTAAGATCAGCCGACACTGATCACCCATCCCGCTCCGCCGCTCTGCGCTGTCAGCCTGGAGGAAGACGTGAGTGAGTCAGCGGGGGGGGAAAAAAGTTCGTCCCTCCCTCCTCAAACCCAAATAGCATCAGGTCGTTTTCCAGCAGTGCCGAGCACTTCCCCAGAGCTGCGCGTCAGGCGGGACGCAGGGAGCTTTCGTCTGCCCGGTGTCGCCTGCATTAGTCATTGACTGAGATGCCTCTTCCCCCGAGGAATCTCGCCTCAGCTTTAGTGTGGAAGCCGTTCAGGCGCACACGAATCGACAAGGGGACACCTCAAGTCACTTCAGAAAGCAGGCGTTTTCGATGGACGCGGAAGTCTTTCCCCAGCAGACCCAGTTCACATGTGACAGGAGGGCACAGTTAGGAAAGGAAAAGGCCTTTAAACATGCTTTAAAGGCGTGCAGCCCCGCGCACAGGCACACCGCTCACCTTCAGCGAAGGCGACGCCAGGCTGCCTCCCAACCGCGACCTAAAAACACCATCACAAGCAACCCCTGACCTTGGAAATCCCTCCGGAGCACCACGAGCTCAACTCGCCCGGCTGAGCCGGCCTCGGTGTAAGCCACCAGAAACAACGCTAACATTTAAAACAGCCTTTCTGCCCCCTTGGTTTATGCCTCCCGCGCTACCCCTGAGAGCTTTCCAGGTGAGAGGGAGAGGCGGCAGCGGTACTGAAGCGCAGACGCTGGTGCCAGACAACAGCCTCCCCGAGGAGCCTCCTGGCCTTCGGGACACGGGTTTCGGAGCAGTGCGGTTCTCGCAGCAAGTTTCAGCGGGGTCTAAGCCACGCTGACGAACCCCAGTCCCTACGCAGAAACTTCCCCGGGGAACGGAATGAACATCACATTCGTCTCCAGCACTGCCTCACACCATCACAATAAACAGAGGTTTAAAAAAAACAAAACAAAACAACAAAAACCCCAAACCAAACAACGCATCAGCTAATCTTGTAAGATTTCAGCTGTTCTCACCCCATAATCGGAGGAGTGTTAAAAAGAAATAAAACCAAGGCTATCTTTCCTAGCAAGGCTTTTCTTGCTTAGAGGTACCACGAGGGCTGCTACCGCCACACGGCACCGGACAGAGCGGAGCACAGAGCGGGACCGGTGGCCAAGGAGCAGCACCTCCTACGAGACTCCAGAGGGAAGCGCTGTGCTCGGGCACAAAGCTTTCGGCGCTGACGGGAACAACCTGGGAGCATCACCACGCCGGTGGCACAACCTTTATGGCACAGGCAGCGGCGCAGAAGCTTTGAAAGGAAAGTCCTCGGCATCCAGGCTCAGAGAGCAGCAGTTCTGCCCCGTCCAGAGCTACCCAGGAGCGCCCCGGGAGAGGTAGTCGAGACACGACAACAGGCTCGGCCAGAAGCAGCATGCAGCGACGCTGACCCTGCTTTACCGCAAAGCACAAAAGTCAACTCCCCGACAAAAGAAAAAAAAAAACAAACAAACCAAAAACCCCAAGAAAGAAACGATTACAAAAAAAAAAAAAACAAACCAAAAACCCCAAGAGAGAAACGATTACGGATACAACGTGGAATCCAGTACATTCATCCCCGATCTCTCCTGAGCACTAGTATCTCACCAGCCAGGCAGCCTGCTCTAACAGCCTGCTGTCTCACAGCGTAGCTTCAGCAGAATTGCACTGTTCGTCTCCCCATCACAAAAAGCACCTAAAAATGAGGGTGCCCCCCACCCTCTTCAGTTCCCCTCTCTCCTTAAAAGGCCACCCTCGACCTCGCACGCCTTGAGGATTCCCAGTCTCCCTCCCACCCTTCTCGGAGGTCGCCCAGCAAATAGGACGTGTCAAATTAACAAGGCACAGTGCTCTACATTCACAGCAGCGGGCGCCTTGGTGCTCACCGGCGTTAAGAAGTCCTTCCACGTTCCAGATTTTAACAAAGCTGAGAGAAACTGGCAAACGCTTTCTGGAGAGAAGCGCGTGTGCCTCCACTGCTCTCCCACCCGCTCAGGGACGACCCGTCCTGGGAAGCACCAGGAAACTCAGAAAAACGCAGGAAGGGACACCATCCGCTACCGCTGCGCACAGACGGGTAACCGCGAGCTGCTACCCTGCCAGGGAGCTTCCGAGCTACGCTCACGCGAGACACTGGTGGATTAAAAAACTTCGTGTGGCCTTTACATCTCCCCTCTGGTCTCCGCCCTGGCTCCACGGAAGGGACCGACAGCATTTAGGGCTCTGGCAGAAGCGTGCGGAGCACTGCGTTATTTTGGGGGCTGCACAGTAGTAAGTATTGATCCCCAAGGCAGCCCGCGTCTCTCTCCGTGCCATAATCCCCCCGGGACGCTGCCGTGATACGCTTTAAAAGTTAATAGTGCCCCTTCTAACATTTAAAACCAGGGTGCCCGGTGTTTTATGTGATGGAACATCTACGTTCTTGGCTACAGGGAACCCACACAGAAATCCAGTCCCTCGGACAACCGATTTCTGCGGAGCAGAGACGCTTGCAAACGCATCGGCTTCTTCGCCCCTTCCCGACGTATGAGAGCTACTGCAGACAGCATCAAATGTCAAGCACGGATGAGCTTTGTCAGACTCTTGAGTACGCAGGCAGACAGCCCGTGCAAGGCTAGATTTTGTACAAAAAGCTGGGAACATAGTCAAATCTGAGCAGAGGGTTCACCCCCTGGCTGGGTTCCTGAAGGTACTGCAGCTTCAGCAGCTCAGCTAAATACTGTACAATTTTGATATCTTCATTGGCAAGGCCCAGCTGAAGCTTCAGGAAGTTCACCCTGCGATTCACAACGGATTCCTCCGGTTCCCTTTCACTGATGGGAAGGTGCAAATGATGGCAGAAGGTGAAGAGGAAGGCTTTTGAACACAGCTGGGTGAGGATGCTTTGGACGTGCATATAGTAGGTGCTCCCTCGTTTGATCTGCGTGCGGTGGTCTGCCAGCCGGGACACCAAGGTGCCTTTGTAAAGGGGGCAGCGGAGAGTCTTACTGTCGGCGTCCAGAACGCTGACGTACCGGCTGTATCGGCTCAGGGCGTGCAGCACGTTCACCCCAGCAGGCGACGCCATCCTGAAACAGCAAGGAGAGAGGTCACGGCTGGAGGGGACCAGAGAGTTAAGCGGCAGACTGTGTCCGTGCCTCCGTATCGCACGTACTTTCCCTCTAGCTCATGAGCTGGTGCAAGAGCCTCCGCGGGCAAATAAAGCCTAGCACGGAAGAGAACGGCCAAATAGTCTCTCCAGCCTGCCAGATCCCAAAGAAACCTCGATCCCCTGGATCCCCACGTGCACCGATCCGCACCGTGCGCGCGCTACTTCAGAAACCACCGCGCTTCGGGGCAGCTTCCTCCCTCGGCGACACGGCGAGGGAGCGATAGGACATCTCCGGTGAACAGAAGCAAATCTTGCAGCAGCTGGTAGCTTCTGGATGTGACAACAGGGACTCAGAAACCCAAACCAGCCCCCCCCTTGCCAAGAGCTCCACTTTCCCCCCATAGCGCTGTTTTGGGAGGGAGCTGCTCCGAGGTGGTCAAAGCCCTGAGCGGAACAAAACCTTCTGCCCTTCCTTTAAAAAGGGAACCGTCCTTAAACCAGAATATTCCCCGGCTGATCCCGGGCATTTTTCACTCAGGTGCAAACCCGCAGCACGTTCACAACATACAATTATCCAACAAGCCTAAATTAACATTATTTAAATGCAAATTACAAGCCTACGCAAACTCTACCTTCTGCTCCTCAACTCTGCGTGGTTAAAGCCGCTCGGTTGAGGTACAGCTGCCGGCCTCAAACCAGGAGCCCCAGCTGCCGGCGTAAGGACTGCCCCTGTGCCCAGGCAGCGTCCGGCCGTAGGAGACGCGGCACCCTCACCGGAATAATTCATTTAGCCTCTGAGTTCCTTCCCAAAGCCCTCGTACAAATGGTTTGCTGAGAGCACCCACGTTAAACTCAACGCTTAATTAACATTCCACGGAGGAGAGTTTAAATGACTGACACATCTTACAAGCAGTTCTTAAAAAAAAAAAAAAAAAAAAAAGACTTTTGTTTATAAAAATTGCATCTAACCACAAACACTGAGCAACGAGTAAACACTCAGGGCTTTTAAAAACCTCACCGACAGACAGAGAAGTTTGGGCGCAGCTGTTGGCAGAGCTGTCATCCTGCCTCACGAGCACAGAAACGAGGGTAAACTCGCAGCTTAGGATAATTTCGACATCCACAACCCCCAGCAACGCAACACTCAGCAGCCCAGAAAGCAGATTTCTCTATTTTGATTTTCATGCTGCTCAGAAACACTCTTTCAGGAGCTATCCCAGCCCGGATCTGAGCAATGGGCCGCCACTCCGACTCACGCTTCCCACGTTGGTGACAGCAACGGCCATTCCCTGTCATACCCGCACCCGCAGAGCCGAACGCATCTCGGCAACACCCCAAGAAAATCCTTTTCCTAACAGCTACAAAGGCAGGGCCAAAATCTTGAGAGCTGAGCAATCGCTATTTGCTAATATAAACTACGAAGCCACACTTCAGGATTGGGTGTCGGGGAAGGGGTGCTTGCTTTTGAGATGGTCCTCACCCTGAGCAGCAGTTTCCTCTGCATCTGAACTGCAATTCCAACACTGCAGCCCGCGCAGCTCCGCGGACATTTTTTCCTGCGCTAAGGCATGTTATAAATAAGTCTCGGTCCATCTGCACCCCCTCGAAGAGAGCCCAGCAGCTCCGCAGGCTCCGCGTCTCCGCCCTTCCCCACACCACCCGGCCAGCACGCCCTCGCCAACACAGCCCAAGGTGCCGGCGCTCCAATTTCTGACCTACCGATCTCATCGACAGCACATCGTCTCTTCACCAGGGTCCGCAAGGACAAACCCTCCCCATATCAAAGCACCCATTTAAAAAAACCCCAAAATCCTAGCTAGGAATGTCGGAAGAGTTTTGGCGGGAGACGGGGGAAAGCAGAGCACACAAGGGTCTCCAGGAGCACTCTTATCAGATCCTCCGGGAAACCGGCAGGGCTCGTGTGCTTGTTCTCTGCTTTGCCGGGCTAAGACCTAAACCAGAAGGAAACCTCCTGGCC